CCATCTCCAGTTACTTGTGATGTGTTTTATGACCATACTTTTTGCTTCATTAAAAGCTTTTATCCTGATCTGTAAAACAATGAGTGACTAGTTGGTAATGGCTGGAGAACTGAGTAGTTAGTGCCAGCTGGTTTGGCAAGTTTACAGGTTAGCTTTCAGCAGGTGATGTTTGGGTGCCAGGCACACATGGCTGGGCAATTTTCTAAGTGCCAAAGCTTCTAAAAATAAATGCCTTGCAGTGATGAGGTGTTGTTGCTCAGTCTGAGATGCGTGAGACCTGTGTGCCTAAACAGGTAGGGAGTCTATTAAGTTTGGATTTTATTTAAATTTTAGATAACACCAATCTAAAGGTAGTTTGACAATACCTTCCCAAGTGAGTTCTTTTGCTTTCTTTAATTTCTTTCTCCTCCATTTTCTTCCAATGCCACACATGCAGATTGAAGAGGAATCAAGTTCATTAATACAGTAATGACATTTGGCCCTGTTGTTACTGAGAAGAGGAAACTAATTTTTCTCTTCTGCATGTGCTGCAGAGAGGAAAGGAAGATAAGCTCAGTGTTCAAAACAGTGCCTATTTGCTCTGTATGCCACCTGTAGTAGTGGCCATTGCTGCAACAGGTGATCATAAGATGTTTTGGGGGGTATTGTAGATAACATGGCAAACTCCTTCGGAAGTGTCAAGATATAAGGTTATCTATTTGTTAAAACATTCATCATCATATTTTCTCTGGTGAAAATTCAAATTGGCATCTGGTTTTCAGTAGAGAGAACATTAAATAAGTCTGAGGTCAAATATAGACCATTTGAAACTGAACCTAGGAGAAAGAATGTGGTGTTATCTTGTTCATTTCTTCAAGTGCAGCACTTCTATAATGTCCTTCCAAGCTGCTTAGTTGAGCTGTTAAGAGTACCAAGAGTTTAAGCCTTCTTCACGACTGAAGGAACTGTTGTACAGGTCAATAGCACTGCCTTCCCTTGTATTTCACAGTGTTTTGACCACTTTTTTTTTTCCTTTTTATGTTTTGTTTTTAGTGATACCATATTAACTAATGCTTTTGTTACTACAGACCGTCTTCCACGCTGGACATGTTCTCTAAACCTAATTTCTGTATCTTGTTTGCCTTTGTGCCTTTCAGTTCTGCCCTGTAGCTACTCATAGGACAGCCAGAATGCAGAGAAAGGGCTGGTGCTTTCTGCCACTGATGCTGTAGAGAGCCCAATCTGATTTATATAAAATTGCTATTCTTTCTCATGTCTAGCAAATATTGATGTTTAATTTCACATCTTGCATGCCAGTCATTTTAAATTACAATTACTGCCTCTTGGGTTTCTCCTGCCAACTCAAAGTTTACTCTTCCTAATTATTTTCCCCCATATATGTTAGTTTTCACTTGAGTCTTGCTGTTTGTGTCCAACCTGCCTGTCTCCTGTTTCCAGTATAAGTAATCTTCAGGCTTTGTTAATGTGCTATTAATGATTCTGTCATCCAATATCAAATAACACTTAATCTAATATGCTCCTTGCAGCATTCCACCAGCTACTTCTGCATAGCTGATACATTACTGTTTGTATTAAGACTAAATGTTTAGTTTTAAATCTGCATGAGCACATCTATCAAGTCAAGAGATTAATTTTGAAGTGAGGCTTTATGAGACCGTTGAATTCCCAATATGCTGTGCCTACTGTGTTCTTATAACACTTACTCTGCAGTACTGTAAAAAATAAGGGCAAGTCATTCTGGAAATATTTATATATTGAATATATATATATGTATTTAGATATTTTTAAGGCTATGGCCCTTATTTCTCAGGGTCCACCATTCTCAAGGATGAAATCTACTTTACTTGGAGCTTGAGTGCTGGAGCTATGGAAGGGTAAAATGCAGATGTGTCAGACAGGCTTGTCCTAGAACCTGAGCCTGGGCCAGCCCCTCTTGTGGTTTCTGGTCTGACTGAATCCTTTTCTGCCTGCACAGAGGCAGGGAGGTGGTATAAGTTACTGTTTTAGTCAAAACCACTTCTGCATGTCTTCAGTGAGGCAGAGAGGTTCCTGTGCTGGATCCAGCCCTCTATTCTCTCCTCCTTCCCTTGGTTCTGAATGCATTTGGCAGGTTAATTATTTTCAGTACTCAATCATGACTGTGGAAAAGGAGGGAAGATGCTTGTGTAGATTTGTTTGTTATTTCTCAGAAAATTCCTACCTCTGTCTTCAGGAGCTGTGACAATTATGTGTGGTGAGGAGTGAGTTGTTTGTTACCTGTAGAAATGTCTGTTGTTTTTTTTAAAGAAAAACCTTTTTAATCTGAAAGACTGTGCATAGTAGAGCCAGCACAAGAAAAAATTCTGCTTCCCACCTTCCTTATTTTATTACAAGAGCTAGACACATAAATAAAACACTAGTTGAAAGATGAGCTTAACTGAAAGGATGATGCTGTTCCTGAGATTAACTTAGTTGTGCTGGGCTTCATTTTGTTTGTGGATTTGATTGGCACACATAATGATTAATGTAAATTTTTTTAAAATGTGTTTTTTAAAAGCTGTAAGCTATTAAATACACTGAAGATACTAAGTATTTTGAGTTGCTCCTTACAGTATTTTTCCTGCATTACACAGTGCACTACTCTCATTCTCCAAAAACTGTTTTAAGTGCAGGCATGAATGCCTTTTCATTTGTGTATCCTTCAGTTTTTAGGCAGGCTAGCTTGGAACTTGCTGACTTGTTTGTGGATTGCTGCTGGTATATTTATAGTTTAGGTCAGCAGCCACAATATTAATTTTCAACTAAACCAGAATCCACTTCAGTAAATAAAATTGCAGAACCATGATTCTGTGACACCAATATAAATTTTGTGTTCTAGTTCCTAGGAAGATGTTAAAATTACTAAATATTAAAATACTAAAAGTGCATGTTGCTGTGTGCTTAACAGCTCGTGTGGTGTTAGAGCTATTGTATGTTGCAGTCTGGTGTAATTATGCTAGTAATTTTTCCTTCCTCACTGGAGCAGCTTCCCTGAGGGGTGTATAAAGCACAAGTCTTTTTTCCAGGACAGTAAAATAATGATAAATTGTGGGGAACCTGAAGGGAATTTATTTTTTTGCTGCCTCCTTTGACATAATGGTGACCCATTTAGAACTAAATGCAATTTTTGTTTTTTATAAAATGGAGACCTCTTCCTTATGTTTGCTTTCTTTTGAGATAACTATGAGGGTTATAATTAACTATTTAAGGGTTTATTAATCATAACTGTGCCTGTATGTGTTTCTGACTAGAAATGTTTCTTGGCAGCAACTGTTGTATTAAGCTTCAGGCTTAAGTCTGCTCTTTTTATGAGTGCTCCTCCCTTAAAAGTGAAGTTTTACTATTAATGTCTGAGAGTTTACAGATCTTTCTACTACAGTCTGGGAAACTCTTCCTGGGCTTTTGGAAAATACTGTAAGTGCCTTAATTTCATAAGGAAAGAAAAAGTCTGATTTACTTTTTTTCACAATCCCTCATCATGGAGAAGCTTTCAGCTTTTTTTGAGAATTTTACTTTCTACAGGTTTATCCTACATAATTGACAGGAGACTTGGTAATGAGCACAAAATATACTATTAATTTATTTCTTACAAGAAAGGTGCTTTGGATCAAGGTGCTTTTGGAACAAGAGATGTTTTGGATCATTTGTGTAATGGGGTGGATGTGATTTTATGTACTTTCTTTGATATTTATTAAAAAACCTGATTGGATGGAGATGAGATAGCTCAAAGCCAGAGGTGCTAGATTCTGACTGCAGAATAAAGCAAGACTGCTTACAAGACTGGCCTTAGGCACTTGTTACATTCCAGTTAATCTTGTGGCTGTGGTTAGAGAGAAGGGAATAAAATAGTCAATAAACTGACCTTCCAGGGCATTTCCTGCAGAAAATATTCAAGTCAGGATGGGACAGTCTGTGATATCCTGAGAGAGGAGGACGGTCTAAGAAAGCTGATGACTGGCAAAAAGGAAACCCTTCACTTTTACTGCCTCACTCATTGTGGGTCAGCTTCTTCCTAATGAAGCTGATGGTGAGACCAGTAGTGGTCTCCAGGACCAGCTTTCTTCAGACCTTGTCTGTTGGTAGCAGATTTGTGTGGTTTTCAGGTTGGTGAGCCCGTGTGACCTCTACGTACCTGGAATGCTTCGATCCCAGGGGTGAATAAATAACAGTTCTTCACAGGCATTATTTAAAGGTTCTATGCAAATTATCTAAATTGTTCAGTTGGCTGAAATATGAGGATTCAGATGAAGCTGGATTTAATCTGAATTGCATGTATGATTTAGTAAAGGTTTTGGAAAAGCTCATGCTGATTGGACCAGAATGAATACTTGCACTGTTCTTGATTGGTTTTGTCTCTTGATTAACTAGGAGAAATGGAAGAAGAGATGGAAAATCCAGAAATGGTTGATTTACCAGAGAAACAGAAGCATCAGCTACGACATCGTGAGTTGTTTCTCTCACGGCAGCTGGAATCTCTGCCAGCCACACACATTAGGTAATGGCTATTTTCTTCTAGTGCTTTTTATTCAAAAAAAGAAATTGCATTATTAAAATTCAAGTATTTTTCAATGTAAGATTGAATTCAGTTTATAGCTTCACTATTGGCATCTTGTGACTCACATGAGCATTTAAGATGTGGGGGTTTTTTTCATAAAATGTTTCTTTTCTTTTTTTTTTTTTTAGAGGCAAATGCAGTGTGACTCTGTTAAATGAGACAGAATCCCTTAAATCGTACCTGGAACGGGAGGTATGAACCCATTTTGGGAATTGTCAAGTTTGAACAGTTTATTGTGGCATGACTTAGGATTGGTGGTTTCTCACAGGTTTTCTTATAAGACAATGGTTCTTTCATTTCTACACTTACTGTATGAGCATTGACAGTGGGAAGCTTTAGGCTTCATTCTGATAAAATTTGTGAAACTAGCAGCCAGAGCTGCTCTTAATATCTTTGTGGCAGTGATCTGCCTCTCCTGTGGGGGAGCCCTACTTTCTTATCAGCCTGGCAGTTTTACAGTTCAAACATGGAGGATCATACCCCAGACAAGATGGAGTGGGAGATGAAGTAAATATTAGGAGGAAGCAAGCCAGCAAGCTGTATTTATATATATTCTCTTTATCCTGAAGTCTTACAGATCTATGTTAATATGGTTTAAGCTTAATATCTCCTCAGGTTTCTGTGCATCTTATTTCTCTGTTTGTTCAGTTCACTGTTTGAAATACTTACCTGTAGTCATCAAATGCCACCACAGACACTTAGATCCTTGAAAAACTACTTGTCAGGATTTCTGAGTCCTGCAGACATGTACCCAATCTGGGTCTGTAAAGATACTTCAAGTGAAACACTTGAAACTGAATAGTCTTGCACTCTTAATCACAATTCAGAATATAAATATTGAGATTTACTTTTTCAGGTATTTTGGGAATTCAGAAGTGGCAGTTATATGTCTTTAATTGTTACTAGACCTCTGGCTGCCAGCTGGGTTAGACAGTCTTGGAATTTGACAATTTGTGAGGTTTAGTTTGGGAGATTAGCAAACCATTTCAGTATATTGTTATTTGAATACATCTGCAAGAATTATGTTTGCATGTGAAAACATTAAAATGTTATACAAGAGAGGAAATCTTGTCGTTAAAAGCAGTGGACTAACAGTCATTACCAGCATTTAAGAAACATGGAGAAAGCAGGTCACTTTTTGCAAAGAGCATACTGTAGTCTGTCTCATAGTTGGGCTTTCTTTTTAACTGTTTTTTTTCTTTTAGCTTTCTTTAGTGTTTGTTTAAGCATAAGATTAATTTTAATCTGATACTCTAGTTTAAGAGAGTTTTGAACAAAGCACGGGGATTAAATAGCCGGGTTTCTCTTTGGAATGTGAAACCAAAAACATGTTGAGGCTGCTCAGGGCTGCCAAATGGCAGTGCATCAAACAAGGGCTGTTGTATTCAGAAACGCTTTTTACCAGCTAGCAGCCTAGGATACAGCCTAGGATACGCCAATTTGAAAGCAAAAGTTAATAAAACGGAATTAATTTAGTTTTAGTAGTACCTAGCTTCTAAGTAGTGTTTATTCTCGATTGGTCCCAACACATTTTTATTACCACCAATGTTACAGGTGAGTATGTTGGGTCAGAGAAGGGAACTGGCTTTCTCTAATCATGCAGTAGCTCAGTTGCAGATGTAGGAATAGAGAGATTTCTCTTTTTCATCCATTCAAAGTCTCAAAATGGAGGATGAGTGATGTGGGTTATTTTTAAAACTGAGCAGGCACTTAGAGAAAATGAGAGTTTCCTGAATATGTCCTGTCACTTACAGTATTTTGCTGTGGTGCAAACTGACTTGGGCAGATGGTAAAGAAATTAAAGCTCAGGAACACAAATGTGCTTGGGTGGAGGGTAAAGAGATTAAGAAAAGGAGATAGGTGTTGCCTGATGAATTCATAGCACCAGATAGAAGTGTTTTGAAAAGTTTCTTCTTCTTCACCTTCTTTTTTTTCCCCTGCCCCTATTCTTAATCCATTCTTTGCTTTCAATTTTTTTCTATGACTTCTGTCAGTAAAAGGCTAAGCAGTTCTATGGAATCTGTAATTTTATTTCTTGTATGTTATGACCACTAAAAGTAGTAAAAAAACAGCTGGCAAATCTCAGTTTGCTGTAGATACTGAATTTGCAGGGAGATCAAGAGAAGGACATAGACAGTTATGGCAAAATCATTAGAGGTCCCTATTTTGCAGAAAGCTATATGTACCATCTACTTTACAACTCTGCTAGGATTTATCCAGAAACTTGTGAATTTTTGTGTGAATTTTGCCTGCTGGGCAAATGTCTGGCATTTCATACTTTTTGATGCTGCCTTATAAATGAAATGCTATATAGGTAAAGTATATTCCTCCCCACTTCACCCAAACTGACTTCATGAAAGTAAGTTTGCAAGCTGTGATGAGCTAACCACTATTTCTGTACTTTAACTTTGAGCCTCTTTTCTTTTTCCAGTTCTTCTGCAGTTTCTCAATGGCTTTGGTTCCTGGCTGTAGCTACGGGTAGCTTAGGGTCTTGAGTAGAGAAGCTCTGAGCAGATGTGTCTGTATAGCAACACTTTGGAGAAATAGAAGTAGTCATGGTTTAATTTTAACTCTTGGCAGATCATTGTCATTTATTCCAAACATGCTGGGTGTTTCCTGGAATCTGAAATTAAAAGAGAAAACCCTTCTTGTTCTTCTCTGCTACAAAGTCAACATCTGCAGCTTTGATGGGTAAAATGAGCATGGTGGATTTTGAAAAGCCATGTTATTTTTATTAATATTACTGTTCTTGTTAAGCTCTTCTGAAAAATCGTTCTTATCATGTAGTGGTGATGAAGGGTTCACCTGCACTAGAAGATTAAGGATCTGCTGTCCTTAGACTATGGTTTGCACTTACCCTAAACTGACATTAATTAATGTTTTCAGAAGTCTCACTTGTTTTGCACAGGCTGAGTTTCATGCTTTTATGGACAAAGATGGTAGTGGTATTGTGTTGCTCAGTCTGTTTTGTTTTCACACTGGAGCCCCTAAACTTCTACCTTTTCTCTGTTGAGAGGATCTATCTGGGGAGAAGGGAGGCTTTTAATTCTTTCATTGAACCTGCTTGATCTGAGACAAAACTGAACAAGATATAAAAAAAATGGCCTGAGACTGGTAGAGAAGGATGGGATTTATTTTGTAGAGAAAACTTATAGCAATAATCTATAAAAGAGAAGCAATAGAGCATCTAGCAATGAATTATGGAAGAAAACCCTTCCACAATGAATTACCTTCCCTGGCCAAGAAAGACTCTTAACAAGTCACATGTAGAATTGTTCTTCCTTGGGGCCCACTGTGTTGTTATACTGCAGTGTTTGGTTAGTGTATTTGCTGGACAGTGTGCCTGAAAGCACTAATGTTGCACTGCATATACTTTGTCCTAAAGTTAGGTATTTTGGAACTGCAACAAATAAAACACTAACATGGAAGCTTGTGAGGCAAAAGCTTTTCCTACATTTTATTTATGCAAAATACATTATCAAAATATTGTAACTCTTCAACTTTGGGTGTGTCAGGGAGCAAGAGATCCAAATTTCTTTACACAGCTATAGTATAAATGAGTTTTCATATACTCTGAAACTTCCTTCTGTCAGTAGGTTGATGTACTTTGACCTGGGTGCCTGTGAGAGTAGGAGTCAATTCTGTCAAAAACATAATTAAATTAGGATGGTGTTAGCTGTGACTTTTATTCTGTTATCATGATGTAACATGAGATTGTTCTTACCCTTGAAGTTCATGCTTTCAAAATGGGAAAATGGCATGTTTTCTACAAGAGGAGATCAGTATGAATTCCTGTCTCGCCTTTTGTGCTGTGTATGTGATACTTTTTTTATTCAGTAGGTTTTTGGGTAGGAGAGCAGGTTTGTCTGGCTTTTTTGGCTCTTTTCTGGCTTCTTTTTCCTCCCTTCCATAGATGCTGATATTTTACTTTAAAAATTGCTGATTGTATTAAAATTGCAGTAGAAAATAGAGTTATCCTGATTAACACTCCCAAGTTCTCTAATTGGATGCTGGATGCATTATACTTGTAAAGAAAATGCAGGAGACCTGTCTTCTATGGCATCAGTCTTAGATTAGCATGTCTTACGTGCAGGGCCAAGAAATGTAACTAGTATGCACTTTTGAAGTCCTAATCCTCAGAATTTTTGCTATGTTACTGGAGAAACTTGAAGCGATTCTTCCCTTTTTTGGGCTTTGTTTGACAGACTGTGGGACTCTTCCCTTGCCACCTCTTCATGAAAATGAATAGGGTTTTGTCCTAATTTTTGTTGCATGCTGTTGACACATACAAATATAGTGAAAGGGAAAAGGAGGTGAGCATGAAATGAGATGTATTTGAACAGGGTGCCTGCTATTGGCACAGAAATGTGCCAAATAAGCCAGAAACCTGAGGTATCAAATTGGTACATCCTGCATTTCAGTTCAAAAACACTTCTTCCTGGTGATGGTGTTGCAGTGGACAGAGGTTACAAAAGGTCTGTTATTTCATGTCCTTCCAGAACTCTCTTCCTGCTCCATATCCCACATTATCCTTGGATGGAGCATACCTGGTCTCCAATGTGTCATGCAATAGCTCTAGCTAAGTACTTATCCATGCAGGAAAGTTTACTTACACTGTTGCAGTTTTAAGCAATTGAAATTGTGGATGTTTTCTTTCTCCACCCTTTCAGGACATTCTCATTCTGTTATGACTTCTTGCTTTGATTTTACACACCCAGGTAACAGAAGCCAAACATCTTTTTATAGCCTTTTTCTCATTTACTTGAGCAAAAGCAACAGATCAATGTGTTGCCACCTGCTGCTACTTAGTGCTGCTGCTGCTAAATCCACTACCCCTCTTCCAGTAACAGGCAGAAGGAAACATGGTGATTGAACCTTAGATGGTGTCAGACAAAAAGCTCATCAGCAATGCATCCTATAGTGAGCAGGTGAAGGGAAGAGATTCTTCCCTTCTGTTAATCACTTGCAAAACCATTCCTAGAGTCTTGTGTCCAATTTTGAGACCCCAGTATGAGACAGACATTTACATACTGGAGCAAGTCCAGCTGAGGCCAAGAAAGTTGTCTGGGGATTCTTGTCTCTATTGGGCATTTTGTGGTATAGCTGTAACAAATCATGCTTCAGTTTGTACCAGTATTTCTGTGCAGATAAGTCACTAGCATCTAGTTACTGCCATTTTGGTATACAGGAAAGTGCAATGTTATGTGCTGAAACAGCTGATATTACTAAAAAATCTCCTGGCCCTCCTGAACCCTGTTTGTGCAAGTGGAGTTTTGTTCACTTCAGCTTCAAAGACTGTGTATTAAGGGAATGGCTTATTTTGAGGAGAGATGTTGCACCTACAAAATAGAAGTGCCAGCATTTAATCTAGTGTTAAAAACTGGTGGTTCATTTATTGTTTTTTCACCGTATTAAAAATCTATATATAAGTAGTAAAAACAAACTTAAAATATAAAAGTTTGCTAGTATGTACACAAAGCTGGAAGTAAAAGCTAATCATGCTGTTTACGTTTTTGCTCTTGTTTTGCTTTTAGGATTTCTTCTTTTATTCACTAGTATATGATCCTCAACAAAAGACCCTACTTGCTGACAAAGGAGAGATTCGAGTTGGAAACAGATACCAGGCAGATATAACAGACTTACTAAAAGAGGGTAATTTCCATAATTTGTTTAAATTGTCCAGAGGCCATGTTGAATGTGGCCATTTTTATGTGTGTGGCCTACAGAGGTGTGGGAGATGGAGGTTTCCCCTGCCAGGTCATGCACATAATGATGGCTTGATCTGTTAGTGACTGAAGCTGTTGCCTACTGAACACAATTAGTTATGTCTCAAACCAGTCTTTACGTGGGCATTTGTCCAAATCATAAAAGTTGTTGAAACAAATTGGATTAATTGGCACTCTCAGAGCTTGCACTCTTTTTATTAAGCGATTTCAGAATTTCCATGGGAAACACAAACTTCCACTGCATCTGTAAGGCCTTTTGTGTTTAATCAAGGCTCACTTCCCTATAAGAGCCCCTCCCGAATTACTGCCAATTAAATGCTGTCTCCCCTCATCAATTTGCCCATTATTGCTGGGTGCTTTTTCCTCAGAGCCTTTTCCCCATCTGCAGTGTTGGCTGCCAGCCTAGACTTCTCACCTGCAGAACAGGCAGGAGGAAGAATTTTCTAGCCTGAACATGTTGTGAGACCTCAGCCTGGCCCCACTATGTCATGGAGTGGTAGGACCACAGGGACCGTGGCCCAAGGAGAAGGGAGTTGTAGCAGTAACTCTTACTAGCTACCAAATAGAACTAACTTTAGATTTGTCTTTGCACAACCCTATAGATCCAAAAGATGGAAAAACTGAGAGGGGTGGAAGCACTGGCATCCAGTTCCTTCTTTCTGAGAATCATGTAATGCATGGGGAAAGACCTGTTGGTATGCTCCTCCTAAGAGAGCAGAGGTGGGACCCATGTTGGAAGGACCCTCCCCAGACTGTATGGGCAGAGATGAGAAAGCAATGAGACACTTCTGTCTTTGCTTAGGAGCTGTTGCTGATAATGTTAGCCTTATGTTAAAACAGGCAAACAAATTGGTTAGGAATCTTGTTTGTCTGTGAAACTGGTATTTATTCAACAGCTGGGCAAGTCTCCTAAGTAAGGATGAACTAATTTGAAAGGCATTCTCTTCCCTCAGTGGGCCAATACGGGCTTCGGAGAAGGATAATCTCCAGATGTTTTAAAGAGAGCAGAAAATAGACAAAACAAAAAAAGTCTCAGTGTAGCTCCAAGGTGTTTTGATCTGTGTAGAGTCAGGGTAATAGAAGCAAGAGAGTCTGATGCCATGATTTCACCCTTAAAAACAGCAGATAAAAGTTGAACCAGCTACTCTTTGCCTGCTGGGACTGTGCCTGTTTTCCTGGAACTGCTGCAAGATAAAAGGAGATAGAGGAAGATAAAGGAGAAAGAGAGAGAACCTGAGAAGAGGGGCTGGAGAGAGACTGTCTAGTTGAGAGAAGGATGTACTCTTGTTTCCTATTACATATGTCCTTTAAAACCAACTCTTCAAAATCTGATTACCTGATTCAGATGAGCTGTGTTGCTGTGTCTGTCAACCTGAAGTTGTCACAGATGTGACACACAGATGCGGGTGAAGGAAATTTTCACAGTGGCCTGTTAGGCAGAGTAACTGAGATGGGTTAGCCGTTGAGTTATTGTGAGACTAAAAAAATGTGTTTTAAAACAGCTATACCAAACATTTCTAATTTGTTTTTCAACCAGGTGAGGATGATGGAAGAGATCAGTCAAAACTTGAAACAAAAGTTTGGGAAGCCTTTAACCCACTAGTAGACAAGCAGATAGACCAGTTCCTGGTGGTAGCACGGTAAGAGCGCTTTACCTCTCCTCTAAAGTAAATGTTAATAACTCCTCTGAGCACTTTTTATGTTTTTTATGCTTTACTATTCCAAATGCTAGTTTTGGTGGTTCTATTCACTTGCTCCATTTTTAAATGATGGATCTTTTACATGCCTTCCTGGGAATTGCATGACTTTAGGAACAGCTACTCAGATTTACACCTTAATCACTCTTACAAAAGAAAAGCAAGTAACATTTAAAAATTATCCTGTAATTGGTGAGGTTTTTCAAATACTTTGGCCAGAATGCAGAAGGCTTAGTGGAATAAATTCTTGACAGTTCATTAGTCTGTCCATTTTCTTTTTCAAATGCAGTGACATTTTAACATCCATTAATAGCTTGCTAAGACGTCCGGTGAAGTGTTTCTGATGGAGCGTGGTTGCTGTCTAATGCCTAGATTCCAACAGGGATAGGCACAATAAAGCAAAACCCTGCAAATCTGTACAGATGGTGACAATGTGTGCTTTTATTTAAGCCCAGAGCAGTCTTTATTGATCAACTTTTATTTTTTTAAAATGTTTTTCAACTTTTTCATTGGTCCACATTTATATCAACACAAGTATATACTAAATTGTAAGTTCTCGTAGCATCTGGTGACTGAATAATTTGAGGGGAAAAAAAACCCACTCTGTAAATTGTGTCTTTTAGGTAAGTTTGCAGGACTGTGTGGGAGTAAAGTGGTGTGAGTAATTGGACCTTTTGGTGGTTTTAGTCAATGTAGCAAGTTGTTGGATATGGTTAGGAAAGGTGTGTGTCAAGTTACAAGCTGCTGGTAGTATCTGAGAGTTCTGCTTCATTGGCTGTAGTATCTGATAGATGTGGACCCTGACTCACAGGGCTGCCTGCTTCAGCCAAGGATTTTGGCCCTGGGAAACAGAGTTAAGCCTATTTTTCAAATATTCTGCTAAATTGGTCATTGGTTCTGTCAGGCTTTTGGTTCTTGTTTTTCCCTCTCTTGACTTACCGTGCTTTGAATTTCCTCTTGAATTTTCCTGAATGTGGTATTGCTGTGCCCATGACTGGGATGGGATGCTTCCCAGGGGGAAAACACGAGCCTGTGTGTAAGAATCTGCTGGGACAGGGCCCTGCAGTTCTCTTTGAAGCTGCTGGAAGATGCAGCAGAATGCATGTTTATCAAACAGTGAATGCGTTCAATGTGCTGGGTGATACAAGCTTGGAGAAACACTTGAGAGGGGAAAAAAGGGTTGGGATAGATGAAGGAGATGGTAAATTTGATGTTTTAAGTACTCCAGATGAGAAGTATGTATGCTCTGAAATACACACCCAAATCAATTTTTCTGTGTGCTTCAAAGTTAAAACTTGCTATTACTATGAACTTGGGCCAAAATATTACAAAATGGCTAATCTGGATTGCAGGACTCAAAAACCTTTGCATGACTGCTTGGGCCTTGTGTGCAAGTCCAGTAACAAGGAGCCAAGAAACTAGGTTGGTTGAGATTAAAAATGTTGACTGCTGTCCAGGTTGAAGAAAATCTCACAGTTCAGGATCTATCAGTGCATTTTTGGTTTTGGTTAAACATGTGCTTTTTGTTGTATGGACTTTTAAAAGAAGTTCATGAAATTCATAGCATTCTGCCATAAAATTCAGGCTCTTGCAGGTGTCACTGTGCTGCTTACACGATATATTGCTATTTCCCTTGACCTGTGCCAACAATAAAGTCAAACAGGCTGAATTACATGGTTTATGTGCAACAGCTTAGTTCTGCTTGATCAGATGCACACAGGGAAATGAGGGTCAGGGGGGACAGGGCAGTCTCCACCAACGATGCTGAACAAACTGATGAAGGAATGATGGGAAAAGCTAAGATACCTCCAGCAAAGGGTGAGTATTCCTGCTTCTTATGGGACCCTTCCTGACAAGGCTGCAGTTTCACAGCTGCTTCTAATCGAGTGAAGTACAATACACTAACAAAATGCTAAGAACTTTGTTCTCTGGGTTCATTTCAGCAGAATTGATTAAAATTACCACTCAACCACACAGTGCTTGAGTGGTGGTGTCAGGAAGACCCAGCAGGAAGTGAGAGGGTGGAAGTGCCCCAGCAGATGCGGGTTTGCACGTAGGTTGGTTTAGAGTGACCATAGAGCTGCTTTGTGATGAGGGTTTCCACCTTGTTTAGGCTTTTAGTGGTGATGGTTTTTGCAATGCATTCTGGCAGTTCAGCACTGCCCACTGGGTTTGGTGATACAAACATACATCTGTAGATGTGTGCTGTAATGAGAAGCACTGAAAAGACAGTATAAAAATCACTTCTGTCCAGCATCAGCGAAGTGATCCATTAGATGATACACACACAAAAGTATCAGTTCAGCTAGTGTTGGGATGGGGATTTGTGACTGGGAAGAGGGCAAAGTGTGGATTGCCACAGAAACTTGGGTGGGGGAGGCTGTTTTGGTTTTTGGCCAACTTTATGACAACTTATCCTGAAGCATTTACCTTTCCTACTGCTGCACTGCTTGGTGCTAGACCTTGTCCCATTCTGTACTTAAGTAGTTTAAGGAAGTGATCTGAGTAGAGGAGAAAAAACCCTCACTTTTTTTTTTTTTTGTTGTAGCTGCTCAGAGGAGTTCAGCTCCAGTGCACTGTGCAGGAACATAAGCATTTCACCCATGTGGTGTAGCAAGGGGTGTAGGAATAACTAGAGCTGATGGTCCTCTTTAAAGGTTTTTCTGACTAATTTTTTAGGGATAAAATGAGGAGCATGGGGGTTGTGGTCTCACAAGAAGGCATGGCTGGCATTGGGAAGTATTCAAGAATTGCTGTATTCTTGTGCAGGCTATATAATGTATTTGTATTGTAAAATAAAAATTGTTTCTAATTTCCCTTAAACTTTTAGAAGAGATGCTTGCATTACTGCATTTTTTCTCTCTGTCTTTGTCATCTCTATGTATTTGGACAATGTAGTGCTGCTCTTGCCATTGTGGAAGATATCATAAAGCTTACTTGTGCTTGGTTGATGTTGAAGTTTAATTCTGTTGAGAGACAGGGGATAAGAGAGTTGTTTAAAACTCCCTGTTTGTGATCCTGGAGTCTTTCACTGTTTCCCCTGCTACACCTAGGCCTCTTTGGTCATATGAACTACGTGGAGTACAGCATTCATAATAACAAACCACATCTGAAGAAAACGGTCTCTGGCTCAGAACTAGTGCCAAACCTTGCACTCTTCTTGCTGAGAAATGGAGTCTGCCGATCTCAAAAAGTGTTGCTTGCTTGTTTATATTTATGCTTGTTTTGCACACAAAGTCGCTCTGTTTGATTTCTTTCAGATCTGTTGGTACATTTGCCCGAGCACTAGATTGCAGTAGTTCTGTCAGACAGCCAAGTTTGCACATGAGTGCTGCAGCAGCCTCTAGGGACATCACACTGGTAAGATTTTTTTTTTTTAAGAGGACATTAAGTTTTTGAGAGATGCAAAATACTCACCTCAGCAATGACAGTTGGCAAAGAGAGAGGGCAGATGGATTGTAATTGTGGCCTGCTGTGAAGCAGATCGTGTCTTTCTAAAGAAGCCCTTTATTTACATATGAAGTAACTTTTTCTGGCCTTGTGCCTCCTATAATCCATCATGGATAATTCTATGAGATAATAAAACAAAACGAATGTTTTGATGGGGTGCTTCACAGCCCATCTCTTGCACAGGTTTAGTAGCTCTTGAAAAGGAGGCAAATTATTATCTGCCTGTCTGCCATCTTACAATGCCAGAATGCCACTCCTCAACAATTCCCTAACACCGGACTGCCACTGGCATCCTTTGGCAAGATTGTCTGGGATAAAAGCCTTGTGGTCAGATAAGAAATTTCTCTTGTTCTTTTTGACAAGCTTCGTTTTCGAGTACCTGAGGAGTGGTGACATTGTTAATGTATTATAATAATAAGTGTTTCTGAGTAGACAGAGGAAAGGTAAAGCCTCAACTAGAGAAAGTTTAATGAAAATTTGAATACAATTTATGAAGTCTCCAGAGAACAGTTATCAATGCCTCATCTCATAACTGGAATAATGTGAAATCATATATAGAGCATATTCTGGGATAAAACACGGTAGAGTAATTATGCATGTGCACAAAACTGGTATGATGGAAGGCAAATAACATCCTGATTTAAACTACAGAAACCAGGAAATAAAGCCAAGCTTTCCTTTACTAATATCAATTTCTCCCTTGCAATGTGTTCTCAGCCCCTGTAAATCACAAGTTGCAGACTGTTGTAGCTCAGCTTTCTGAGGCGTAATTGCTCCTGGGAGTAATTCTTTTTTCCTAGTCAGCTATGACTTGAATCCTTTTTGGGATTTGTGGTCTTTGAAAGGGGAACGTATGTTCATGTTACTTTTCTGAAATATTTTTCTTATGCAATTTTTGTGGATTATTTGGCAAAGAAAGTGCTTTGCTAAGTTTATTATAAAATATGCCCTCGAACCTGTAGCTTCGTGCCCTGTCTGTGGATGGTACCTAACAGGGCTGCTCAGTACTGGAGTGAGTAGGGCTTTTTTCTGTGCACTTTCATGACATTATTGCTACTGTGATGGTGCTGGTAAGTAGAAAAAGTAGGAATTATTAATATACAAGGACTTGTGTTCCAAAAGCCCCACTACTGGTAGTGGACATTAGACTTGTACACTGACAATTAGAGGGGGTCAGACATCGGAACAATTTTTACTGGTTTTGCATTAGATAAAGAATACTGCACCTTCAAATGTTGCTGCACAATTTCTGTTATTGCTGTTTCACTGTTGAGCATTTTTCCCCTCTAGATGCTTGTCATAACATTTATCTTTCTTTTGCAACCATGTAGTTCCACGCTATGGACACTTTGCACAAAAATGCCTATGACATTTCCAAGGCAATCTCTGCACTCGTGCCACAAGGTGGGCCAGTCCTGTGCAGAGATGAGATGGAGGAATGGTCTGCTTCAGAGGCAAATCTCTTTGAGGAAGCACTAGAAAAATATGGAAAGGATTTCACTGACATTCAGCAAGATTTTGTAAGTATATGAAGTAGGAGGGCCTACATGGTGACCAGTTCCAATCAGTGACAGAGCTGGTTTACAGCTTGTCTAAACTGTGTTGTTTTTTTTTAGTGTTGAAGAGGAGGCCTTGAACTGGAGCATGTGTCTTGCTGTAAAATGGGGAAAGGCAGGCCTTGTACTGATGGCAGTCTGTCTGTACAGTCAGAATTTCAAATCATAGATGATAGCTTTTCCTTTAAAATCGTATGTTCCACTATAGCTGAGAGAGGATTTAGGAGAGCATTGTAACAGCATACCTGCTGTAGGTCAGTTTGTGTGTGAGGGAGAATAAGTAACAGGCCTTCTGAAACATGAAAATTTAGTCACTTTTCTAATGCTATTTCAGGAAAGGAATTTTGTGCATCCAAAGGAAGTGTCCTGTAGTTGGCCAAAGCTCCACCCTAGGTGCTTAGCCTGAGGATTGAAAGGAGTACTGTAACCAGAGCCCAGTTTCACTGTGTCACTGTTCAAGTCCTCTGGAACAAACAAGCAGTTTCAGTGTAGCTCGTCCCTCACTTTTACCTTTTAGACAGAGAGATCTGGAAGCAGCACAACACTGTGTTTGTGCTTCTTGGGCAGAGAACAGAGATAGCATGGCACAATTCTGCTAGTAGTTATAACTTTAAAAATTTTTTTAAATGAGGCAGCTCCATAGAAGCTGAACAAACCAGAACTATGATACTGTAGTTGTAGCTCTTGCTTGAGTCTGCTGCTCAAGCAGAGTGGGTCTGAGCCAGTGGGCTCCCTTCCACATTGTTCCTCTTGAATGGTTTACTGTGGAGCCAGTGCAGCATGGAGATTTACCTGTAGCCTGCTCTACTTCTACACTAAAAGCACTATTTTTTGAAAGGCTGTTTAATTTAACATGGATCTCATGTGCATTTAAGGCTCTTGGGAGATTCAGACAATGACTGACTTTTTTTGGTTGGCAGGGTTAGTAGTTGCAAGACTGCTATAAACTGTCTAAGGAATCATGTGAATTTCAGTGAGGTTGTACAGCAGCTCCCTGCAATGACTGCTGCTTTTCCTTTATGTCCCTAGCTCCCGTGGAAGTCCTTAACAAGCATAATAGAATATTACTATATGTGGAAAACTACAAACAGATACGTTCAGCAGGTAAGAGAGTCAGAATAATCTCTTTCCTTCTAACAGAAGCTATTTTTATTTGCCTTTGAAACCAAGCATTCTTGCTTTATTCTCCCTCTTGTGCTGGGCTTCAGCCTTTCCAATAGGTTAATTCTGGAATGTTCTGAAGCAGTGAACAGTCTCTCTGCATTAAACTCATCAGCTGTTCTGTAGATACCAACATGTGGCATTGGCATTTGTGCTTTCTTTTTGGTTTTGCTGCTACTTAATATTTTTGAAGCTTTCATATGTCTATTTTGGAATTCAGCAGTATGAGGAAAGGAAGACAGTTAATCTCTGCTTCTAACAGAATTTGAAGTCAGCATTAACTTCCATTTCAAAAATTTTTGGGGGGGTGACAGTTGCACCCACACCAGTTCCCCACCTCTGACTACCTATGACTTTGACTGCCAATGCAGGGCTCCCCTATGTAAGTACTGTGAGTGAAGTGTTTGTCTGGGAAGTGTTGATGGTTCAAATTCCCAGACTTGTTATACTTGAGAATCAGCTTAGACTAGTGTTTACAATAACTTTTATCTCTTTTTTAAATACGAAGAGTGTTTGGTCCCTTAAATAAAGCACAATGCAAGCAGCATGCAAAATGTTGCAGAGTATCAGTTGCTGAAAAGTACTTACAATATTTAATGGGAAAAATAATTAAAAGAACAGAGAAATATGTAATGTGTTTTTCATTATAATTGCCAGTATTATGTTTAGGCATCTATTTAAAATACTAGAAAAAGAGGAGTTATAAAAATATCCTGCCTTAACTTGCTTCATTAGAAATTCAGCCTGGGTTGAAGACTAGATGCCTGAGGCATTGACCAATATTTGGCATGTGCTATATTTGGGCACCTGGGTCTGGAATGTAGTTTTCCCATTTTCTTTTTGATTTGAATACTGTTTAAATTACAGAGGGATCCTCAGGACACATGAGAACTCTTCTTTGCATCAGTTCTGTATTATATTTTTTAAAAATATTAACTGCATCCTCATTCCAGTATTATCCCAAGTTCATTTTTTAACTGAAAATTTTCATTCTGATTAGAAGGTGGTAGGAAAGTGAGATGGTGATGGAGAAATGAGGTCATAGTCTTTCTTTTCCCATTCAACTGTGTGTGTATTGATAAAGTGAGTGCTGCTGTACTGTCTGGCTACAGCTATTTAGATGATAGCTGAGTGAACTCAGCCTGTACTGTACTCAATATTTGCACCAAGTAGAACCCATTTATCTTCTTTCTTGCATCTTTTATCTCTCCTCACTTCTTTAGTGATTAAAATCCATCTAGCTGTATGTTAGGTATCAGAAAAGTGAGGAAAGTTGTTATATCAGTCAGTGAAAACTAGAATCTTAAAGCAGTTACATGAAAATGTCACCCTTGTGCAGTCAGAACAGCAAACAATAGTAGGAATTATTGGGAAGCATTAAACTAAAATGCATCTCTATATTGCTCAGAAAGTCCATGATACATTTTCAATAGTGAAGTTGTGTTTCTGCCCATCTTGAGGTATGTAACTTGAAGTAGTGGGAGTAAGGGATAGGGAGCAGTTTATTTCACTCTTGAATGCTGTGGGTGACAGATGATTATAGTGTTCCCAGGTGTTTGCTTCTAGGCCTGTGTACTGGGAAGTCAAAATAACTGGAGATACTGTGCCTTGATTAGGAAGGGGTGAAATTATTTTGCTTTTTCCCACTTTCTTGAGCTTATCACATAGACAGAATTGCAGAGGGGATAGCTGCATGAAGGACTGGTCATTTGTTCTTGCAGCACTTAAGAAAACCCAACAAGCCTACAGTTTGTCACATTGTTTTGCTATATACCTGTTCAGTGGGATTCCTGTCATTGTGGCACTGTACTTTACACGTACTGCCCAGCAGTGTACCAGGGAGTGGGATTTGAGGAAAACTTTGAATCAGTGGTTCTGCACTTAGAAGACAGTATGATTATAAGCCAAACAGGTAGATATTGCAGTACAGAGATACCACACCAATTAAGTCTGAACTGAGCCGAAGGCCTCATCTCAAATTCCTAGCTTGTACAAACAAATACTACTATTAAACATTTATTAAAAGCCTGGGAGAGCTATCTATATATAACCATGAAGAAAGCACAGGAAACTCTGTTTGAAATAATGGTATTTTACATTGATATTTTACTTGATATGTGCAAAGTCTTGGACAAAGCACATCCTTTACCTCTTTTTCTGTCTGTTTCTTCATAGTGTTTTGCCTGTGTAGATTCTTTTCCTAGTCTAATGCTACAAAATGGTCCTGAGGCTAACAGCATTTTTGGACATATGATACTGAAAATGTGTGAAGAATGGACATAAAAAATGTATATCTCAACTTGTTCACTTTTACTTGTCTTCATTCTCAGAGGATTATTGAATTGTATTCCACAGCTGTATGTTATTGTCTTAAAAAAAATATTGACAGCTTGCTTGTTCTTGTAGAATCTTTGGCTGAATGAACTTACAGATGTCTGTTTAAACTGTTTCTGTGTGTTACACAACATAGTCATGAAGTCTTTTGTCATCATCCAATTGCCTGCTTTAATGAAAACCAGTTAGTTTGGAACTGTGTAATTCCTCCTGTATTTCCTTTGAGATTTTCTTGGAGCTAGAAAGCACTGTCATAATCCTGAAGCAGAATCCATCTGTTTCTTGGCATTGAGGAAACTAAATTTAAGTTGACTTCAGCAGAATCATAGAATGTCTTGGATTGGAAGGGGCCTCTAGAGTAATCTAGTCCAACCCCCCCTACAATAAGCAGGAACATCTCACACTAGAACAAATTGCTCAGAGCCCCATCAAGCCTGGCCTTGAATGTCTCCAGGGATGGGGCTCCCCTACTGCCTGCCTTTCTAGGCAACCTGTTCCAGTGATCCACCACCTTCATGTTAAAGAACTTTTTTCTAATATCCAAGCTTAATCTACCCTTCTCTATCTTGAAACCATTACCCCTTATCCTATTGTTACATGTCGTAGTGAACAGCTCTTCCCCAGCCTTCTTAAAGGCTCCTTTCAGCTTCTAGAAGGTCCCCCCAGAGTCTTTTCTTCTTCAGGCTGAACAACCCCAACTCCCTCAGCCTGTCTTCATAAGAGAGGTGCGCCAGCCCTCTGACCATTTTCATGTCCCTCTGGACACACTCCAACAGGCCCACATCCTTCTTGTGTTGAGGGCTCCAGAGCTGGATGCAGAACTCCAGGTGAGGTCTCACCGGGGCAGAGTAGAGGGGCAGAATCACCTTTCTTGATCTGCTGGCCACACTTCTTTTGGTGTGGCCCAGGATGCTTAGAACTGAGCAATAAGTTATACTTATGCTTGGTATACTTGAACTCAAAAAGCTTAATACAGCATTTCCTTGTCTTGTGAGTAGGATACTGTGATTGAGATACGTGCAATTTGACTTGTTTTGGAGTGTGCACTTGGATCTCTTATCCAGTAATTTTTATTTGTCTTTAAATATACTGTGCTTTTGAAGTTTGCCAGTGTAATTAGGAGTTCAGTCGTTTCAAGAGAAAGATTGACCCTTCAAGAACAGGACTGCTAGAAGGCAGTTCTGCTGCAGTGTCATCACAGAATTTGGTCTGATGTTGTCTCCTTAATGTCTATGCAAAGTGATCCCAGGAGCTGTCCAATCAAAGACACCCTTTCAGAGTTGTCCTGAAGGAAGAGTGGGACGGATTCCAAATTCAGTATCCTGTGTCTCCTTTGAATTCATCCTTTTCTTGAGGCTGATTTCCTGTGTCTATTCACAAGAGCATATATTTCTAATTTAGGAAGGTTTGAAATGGCATCCACTGAGAAAGTACAGTTTGGTGGCCTTCCCTAGTTATTTGAAGACTTTAGGAGTTGCTGCAATCTTGGGTATGCCTGCATTTTCATTCCAAGTGAAAGTTGAGTTCTTATATAGTATTGAATTCCAAAGTGATTTTTATTTTTTTAAGATCTTTAAATATTTCTATTTTGCATATCATGAGGAAAAGCCCTAAAAGCCTTAAAATGTAACACTTTCCAGCTGTTGAGATGCAGTTGAGAAGAGCTCAGGACATGGCAGAAAGCATTCATGTTTTGAGAATGGAAGGCCTTAATTTACTTCTTGCATTTTTATTTGTACTCGAGGAGCAAGTAATTTTGAGAGGAAGACCAAATATGAATTACTACTCTTCTGTTTCTCATATGGAAGTGCTGTTAGAAAAGTGTGGGAGGAAGAGACAGAGAAAACAATGTTTAAGGTATGCTAAGTGTTATGAAGATACTGGAGAAAGTGGAAGTGCCATTATATTTGACTATGTGAGGTAGGGAGGTTTAAGGAAGGAGCTCTGGGTAAATCCTGATGTAGATAGAAAACATCTGTATTAAGTGACACTAACCTTCTTTGTACCTAGCCAAGAGCTGTGCATGACATCTTAGTGTAGTAGCCTCCATAAAGTACTGTGTGCCAGCAAAGTAGAAATAACATCAAAGAAATATTTTTCTGCATCTGTAGGACATTTTATCCCAAAACACCTCCCTTGAAGCTCTACAGTAACATGGAACTATGGCAGTTTTGGCAAGCAAGTGACAGAGACTGTAGGTACTACACATCAGTGCTGAGATGTGTTGCTGGAGCACAAGCAGCTGGAAACATTTCTCTCAAAAGCACCTTTTCTGTCCTAGCTCCCCCACCTCCCAACAGCACTTGTATGTTCAGAGTTTTCCAAAAGAATAAACAGTGCAAAATTTCTCCTTTAAATCCAGAAAATGTAATTTATCTTCCCCATCATCAACTAATAAAGACTTAATATTAGAGGATGTTTGAGATGTCTCTGTGCTGTCTACCAACCTAATTCTCGCACTGTGGACCTTGAAATGTCCCCTGGGTTCCCACGTTTCTTGTTATTTCTTTATAAATGTTCACTCTTTAGAAAATTACCACAAACATTTGCTCTGATGCATCACATATTGTAAAACTCTTTCAGGCTCAATGGGTAGAATGGAAAATATTAAATCTAGGGAGGGGATACATATAGAACAGATGTTTGTTCCACCTCGAAAGTACAATACTTAGTATTTTAATCCCTTGATTCCTGTGGGATAGACAAGTTGGTGATACTTCCCTTTGATAGATGGGGAAAACAGATGAGGTAAATAAGAGGATATACTTCAGATGTGTGTATATAAACATCTCAAAGACAAAGTATTTTGTTTAGATCAAACCACTAGAAAAAAATACAGATATTCAGGCTTTTCTTAGGGATGAGGACAGTCATAACTATCTCAGACAACATCAAGAATTTATCATGTAAATATGCTTCAGGCACAAACCAATCAGTAACTGGCAAAGGGCCTAGCAAAGCACTTTCTCTGTGAAGGGATTATTCTGAACTTGTGCATCATTACATTTCAGGCACCTTTCTATAGGACCTTCTGATATCAGTCACTGTCAGAAAATAGGAAACTCATCACGTCTATTGATTGCTCACAGTCGCCAGTATTTAATGCAAAACCAACCTCTTATCCAGTACATTGTGGTACCTTCTGAAAGCCTTCACTTTTCCTGGTATACTTGTTCGTAATTAAGGCATGTGCTGTATGTTGTGCTCTCTGCTGGTCCCCAGGCAGCTGTAGGAGGTGGAAGGTATTGCTAGGTCCAGGTGACTATGGCAGTTGTTAGCTCAGAGCTCACATCATGGTCCTCAATCACAGATGCTTTATGTTGTGGGGTTGACATTTATCATCAGTTTACCAAACTGGTGCTTAATACCCTAAATGAAGCATGTCTCCAAGGCAAATGACTTTACTTTTCAGCTGCTGGTAATGCTTTGGGCTTGCATGAAGTTTTAGCAGTCATAGATTTCCAAAACTGTCATAACATAATGATTCTGGAAAGTCCCATTGGGAGCTTTTGTCAAGAAAACTGCAGCTTTTTTTCCCCCTACAACCCAGAAACCTAGTGGAAGTTCATAAAAAGCCCCAGTTCTCTAGTAGAGGAAGTTCCCTGAATTACTGCTTTGACTTCAATTTTATTACATTTTTGTGTGCTTCCTGAGTTAATGAAAATACTGACTTTAGCTTTATAATTATGTTCTTAGACTGTGCCCTAAGGCCTATACACAGAAAATGTTAAGCTAATCTGTTTGTCTAGAACATCACCATGCTGCTTGTTTGTCTGGAAAACGCTGTGGCTTTATGCAGGCCACTCTTACTGGCATTGATGTTGGCATGAGCCTGGCTGTGAGCAGGATGTTGGACTAGAGGCCTCCAGAGGTTCACCCTAAATTAATTTAGCTTATGTAATAAAGAGGAAGCTTGAAATGGTTTGAAGGTTTGAGTCATAAACGGAATTATTGGCCAGTTAGAAAAACTTGTGCTGATTGCTTACTTCTCCCATGTTCTTGTGGACTATCAGTAAATTCACAGATGTAGCTGAAAATAAAAGGAGCAATGCTATTCTGGGGGAATTTACTCCACCCTATCCAAAGAGTTCTGTCATTCGTTTATTCCAGAAATGTGAACAGAAATGAATGGACGGTTTTACTGAAGTAGGGCTACATGAAGGGAAGAAACATGTGTCCCCATGCTCTTAAAAGGCTGCTTCTTGTGTGTATTAAACCTTAAACACATCTGTTACGTTCCTTAGTATCTCCTGGCAATCATGTTTTTCATTAGGGGCTGATTGTTTGGTCTAGTTAGATTCTCCCCTTTCTACCCCCCTGATGTTCTTTGCTACCTGTCCTTCGGATTCACATGTGCCTGGGGTTTATTTCCCTTTTTTCTCAGAGAGGGATATGTTAATGGTGCTTGTGTATCTAGAGCTGCTCATCTTTAGAAGGTACGAATGTATGGGATGCCTGTGGCTGGTGTTTAGTCAGAAGTGATGACATACCATAATTACAATGTGTCTTGGGTAATTCTGCATTGGTTTTGAGTTGAGATCTTTGGCTTCTTAACTTTTCAAGATTATCTCCTGTGTCTGTCTTCAAAAATGAGGGCTATCAACAAGAAGTCTTCATCCAAACTCTGAATTACTTCAGCAGTCAAGGAAATAGGATGGAGAGGGCACATTACTATACCTGTTACCGTCAGCTGGTGAAGATTATCAGGGAGAATAAACACAGACTGATAGATCTTCCTCTGCATGAAAGAAAAAAGGGTCTTGGGAGCAATGCATGAGTTAGCATTGAAGAGAATGGGAATGAAAAGCTTGTCCTTATAAGCAGTAAATTGTAATCTGGTTTTTGAAAAGCTGTGTACATAGTCATTTGATGCCTGCAACTGTTTCAGTGGATATTTCTACTGTTGGTAAGTGATTTTGTAGAAGGAAAGGAAAACTTCATTGTTTCTTAATAAGTGCTGAAGTATTTACAGGTATATTACTTGACTTCAGGTACAATAGTCCCTGTTTTCCTTTTATTCTAACTTCTTTCTTTTCTCTTTAAAGAAACGATTGAAAGCAGCAGAAGCAGAAAGCAAGCTAAAACAAGTGTATATACCCAACTAGTAAGTATATTTTTGTATTGTTTTGTTTCATTGTAGAGAGTCTGGCGTAGCAGTTTCCATGGCCTGCCAATGTTATGTATTTTCTTTACATAATGAGAGACCTAGTTGAAAAAACATGTCAGAGAACTATTAAATTAGGTTATCAGTATAACAAACCTTCTGCTGATGCTTGAATAGTCTTGAATTCCTTTGTATTTTAGCTGAGTAAATGCTAACCACCCTGATGCCAAGAAACAGCTAGGAGCCCTATGGAATCACAGAATCTGAGGGTTTAGAAGGGACCTCGGAAGATCATCTAGTCCAGCCCCCCTGCCAGAGCAGGGTCACCCAGAGCACATCACACAGGAACGTGTCCAGGCAGGTTTTGGATCTCCACAACCTCTCTGGGCAGCCTGTTCCAGTGCTCTGTCACTCTCACAGTAAAGAAGTTTTTTCTGATGTTTACATGGAACTTCCTGTTTTCCAGTTTGCACCCATTGCCCCTTGTCCTATCACTAGACATCACTGAACAAAGCCTGGCTCTGTGCTCCTGACACTTGCCCTTAACATATTTGTAAACATTGATGAGGTCACCCCTCAGTCTCCTCTTCTCCAAGCTCAAGAGACCCAGCTCCCTCAGCCTTTCCTCATAAGGGAGATGTTCCCCTCCCTTCATCATCTTTGTTGGTCTGCACTGGACTCTTTCAAGCAGTTCCCTGTCCTTCTTGAACTGTGGGGCCCAGAACTGGATGCAGCATGGTTGTAAACAAGTAGCTAATTAACTACTCAATGTGTTTTTATAATTTTTCCATTATCAGTGGATCAGCAATTTATATATATATATTAAAAGTAATATATAATAATATGTAATACATCTAAAAATAAGTATATATAGTCTATTACCAATGTGTTTCTTCTCTTGCATTTCCTCTGCATAACCCTGTCAACATTTGTTATAGTGTGGAACTTTCAATCTCCCTGGTCCTTTCTCTTTTCAGCTTTCACTCCCAGTTATGTTTCCATGTGTATTAGCCCAGACAATTCCTTTACTCTTTTATGGTATCTCCTTTCAAATGTTTCTGAACTTCTACCATGTATTCTGTTACTTACAGCAAGGCTAAGTTTTACATATTTAGCTTATTTATTGTGAAACAAGTGGATCCTTGCTTTCTTTTTGCTTTGAAAGATATCAGTATCTTCCAGGTGAATTTACTAAAAAAATTAGGTGTAACATTCAGAGTGAAACCAAATAGCTTTCTTGTCATGCAATTTTTCAACAATATGGCTTTTTGTGGATGGTGCTGCTCTGCAGGGGGACACTGAACACCAAATTAAACATGAATTCACAGTATTATAAGCTGGTAAAGCAAAAAATAATGTAATTTAAACTGCTGATGCAAAAGGATATTGCAGGTGAGAGAGCCTGGTAGTGTTGCTGTTGGTTTATAATGTATGTATTTGCATTTGAAAGGTATGGTGCTTACTTGATAATGGCTGTCTGGAGTGGTGTCTTATCCCTTGACACTGTATCTCTGCAAGATAATTCTTGTTGCTATCTAGAGAATATAATCGAATCAGCAACTTACCTCTACTTCAGGAAAATATTTCTGTCTCTACCCACGTGGTTGCTATTTTTGTCTCTGGCTTTGATTTCCAGTTGTGGTTGGTTTTGTGAATGTTGCACCTTAACATACATATTGTTTAATTAACAAAATGGTGTCATTTCCTTCCTCCTTCAGTATCCTTTCCATTGCATCAGGAAAAGCAGCAGTTGGGAATGTGGCTTATTTAATCCCACATGAATGCTTCTGCTGCTTTTTTGCTGTTAATGCCTCCAAATGTGGCAACAATTAAGGATTTCTAAGGGGTTTTTTTATTATTTCTACTCAAGTTTCAGTGCAAGGTCTGGCACTGAGAGGATGTATTGCATATCTATTATCTTGTGACCTGAAAGATGATTATATTATTGACTTGTAATAGCAATACATAGTGTAGGGGGACTAAATATCGATCTTAGTGATTTGTCCTTATCATGTTACTGAACCCATTCCTTTTTTGAGGCCTGAACCATAATGATCCATTTGTCACCTCAAAAATAAATTACTTGATGTAGGCTGTTACAAGACCTATGCAGAAGCATATCAGCTGCTTGAGTGAAACCTATTCTAACAATAACTGGTGTAAAATTGTTTGCAGAGACCCTAGAGGATATCAGACTCAAATAATTGTATCTTTTTTATTTTATTTTCCTGCCACTGATGGGGCTCTTGTTTGTTCGTGTGATGTTAATAGGAAGATCTAAGGAGAGAGGAGGAAAACAAGAAGAAAGACAAGTTGTCTTGAAAGGTTATTTCTTATGTCACATACATATTGTACAGTGAAAAATAATAGCTCTGCGTGAAGCTTTAGAGTTGGTGGTTTTTAAATTGAGACTGTGCCCCAAATTTATAATGTGGATAACTGAAGCATGGAGAGCCATACAGTAATTGATGTGGGATTATCAAGTCCTAAACTGAGATATTGGAAAAACATGTCTGGCCTAGATACTGGACAAACATTTCTGTGTTCCTTCCAAGAACAACTCTGGTTTTGGGACAGATTTTGTAGCTGATGTGACTGAACCTGATGTTTGCCTGCATGGCTTTGTAATGCATCCCTTAGGTTGAAAAGCACTAATGTGCTTTCCTGGGGAAAGGAAAAAGTGTAAAATCAGTTGAATTCTGCATTCAGGAAATGAAACAAATATTTTATCTGTTTTCTCTAGCAATTTTTGTGTCAGTGGGAGTGTTGTTAAATAAAGCAGCAGCGTAAGTCTGAATGCACAAAGAGATTCCATTTTCTTACACTTTTCATCCTCCCATCCACCAGCATGAACATGGGGCTCAGACACCTTTCTTGTTGCAGATGTAGTCTCAGTCTCTTTCTCCTTCTAGTGTGTACCCAAACATAGTCTTCAGGCTGTTATGGAAATCATATTCTGGTTTTGCTAATCTTGCAGGCATTGTGTGTACTAGTTACTTCCCTCTTTTGGATGATGACCTGGTTGTGTAGCTGGTGCTTTTTGGGATTAGGACATCTGCAAATCACGATAGCTGAGACATACAATTCTGTGTGGCTTTTCTCTCTTTTGCTTTGATCTCAGTGAAAGCAGAAGGGGTAAGAACAGAAGGGGAAGAAAGAAGTGTTCTCTACAGTCCCCAGTCTCCAAAATGTATTGATGTAAAATGTGCATTTTAAATTTTACATCTGTAAATGTAAACTGGTACATTCCATTTGTAGAATTTTATCTGAGAACCTCAGAGCACTTTGACGAGCTGCATGTGCTGCCTCATAAACACTTGTAAAGTAGGGAAATACTCTTCTCCCTGTCTTGTTTCTTTTTTTAAGTGAATAGGGAAATTGGGGGAATGTATCAAGGCTTTGGATGACTACAAGGGGCGACTGCTTAACAAACTGAAGACAATTCCTTTGGTTTTGGGTTGTCCTCTGCTTGAGGAGCAAAACTTTATTCCTTCCACTTAATTGTGCAGAGATCCATTGCAGCACGGAAAACTTAAAAGGCGTAATGCTGTTTGTCTTTTTTAACTGTGCTAGTTAAAATGGCAATCTTCAATGTTTTGTTTGAGCAAGCTCATTCTCAAAAAACCATTATTTAGCAGTCATTAGACCTGTTTTAGAAGTGGGTATTTACAGTAGTCTATAATGACAGCTCACCTCTGTCTGGAGAAGGAATCCAGACACTTGTAATAGATGCCTTGGGGTTGATGGCATAAACATTCCTTACAAAGGATTAAACGTTGTTCTTATTTCTGAGGCTTTATTTCTTAATTGTTTAATTTCATCTAGCACCACAACAGTTTCCTGAATAATAGGGAATATGCACTGATAGTGTTTAGTTTATCATTATTTTTAAAAACTACAGTTGTATTACTGTGCTGTGGGTTAAATGCTGGACATACCCATAGTGGAGGGATTTCAGTGTTCTGCTTGGCTTAGTGTTGTCTTCAGGTTAGTTGTTTTGAGCAAGGGCTTATGGCTGGCTTCCAGTGCCTTCTTTCTGCAAGTGCTTTATCACCTTATTCCCTTTAGTTGAGTCTCATCTCCTGCAGAATACAGCCCAGAAAACTTTGTTTCATGATCCCTGCATAATTCTAGCATAATTGACTGCACCATCACAATTGAAGCCCTTCTAAAATACTTCCATTCTTGATGTAAGTACTGGAATAGATACTTTACCACACCATTAGTGTTCTCAGTGCCTTATTTGAATCTTTCACTTCAGCTCCATTAGTTGCCTAATGATTCATCCAGTTATTCATCTGATTCTCTTGTTAATAGCTGTAGCAGGCTTTGGTGATATCAAACAAGTTTAATTAACATATCATCAGCAATTAAGAGCTTTTTGCTTCTCATATGATGATGAAGACATTAGCTGCCTAACTTTTATTGTTACTGCCACTGTGAAGCTTGACCTCACCTTTGGAGCAGGGTGCTTTCTGCTGTTTCTTGCAGCTACTTGAATTGTATTGTTCCCAAATCCTGAAGTGACATTATTGTCACAGCTCTGGCCTGACCATTTTGTGATCATCTCTTACCCATGCGTCTCTTTCTCCTGTGTTTGAAATACAAGTTTGAGAAGGGTTGTAGGGAGGACAAGGGAGTCAGGCCATCACCTTCCTTTCTGCATGAGATCTTAGTGCTTGAGGTGTGCGTACCAACACGTGCAGTCTTCTTCTCAACTTGCTGTTTACAACCAGACTCACCAAGGCTTCCCAGCATGCTGCTTAAAACAACCACAAAACCTTTTTGTGTGCTTTGCTGATGGATTGAAGACTCCTTTACTACATTTTCAAGAGGATAAATACACTTCTAGAAGGGAAGCAACCTATCTGATATTGAGCCATAAGACTTGGAGTGAAACCTTGGTTTTCTTTACTTCAGTCTTTGTCTTTGAGCAACACTGCTTTTAACTGTGCATCTGTGAGAACTGTTTGTTTTGCAGCATCTTGGTAATGTTTGCACATGGAATTTGCTAGTGAATCATTGGCAGAAGCTGTTTTGAAGCAGGTTACTATAGTGACATCCCAGAAGAAATGCTGGGTAGCATGAATGTACCCTCTCAACTTACACTTTGTTAGATGTGTCTGCAGAACTCCTGCCATCTGTGGTGTCTGAACTTTGTGCCATTCTGATAAGTACCCAGAAAGACTTCAGTCTTTGTAAGAGCCAGGCAAATTAGTAAGCAAAAGAAGAAAAAAAACCTAATCAGGCTTGTTCATCTAAATGCCTTTGTATGCCTTTTTTTCTCTTCTCTGCTTCTTTTGGGCTGTATGCAGGCTGCCTACTGCACTGAAGGAACAGTGTTTCAGTGCTCTGTAGCCTCCTAAACTTTCTCTTCTGCAGGGAGGCCCTCAACTTTACAGTGAGGAGAGCCATCAGAATGCTATCTGAATTTTTTCTGACACTAGGCAAATACTCTTTTACCTCTGTGTGGTCCTTTTAGAGTCAATCACAGCTGAATCTACTCTGTGTCTATAGAAATGGAGCTTTACTGAGCTGTGTATCTCTGTGCCTGATCAGACATTTTCAGATGAGGAGAAGGATCACCTTCTGGCTTCTAGGGCAGTGTGAGTTTTCCAGTAGCATTTGGGTTTGTTCTGGAGTTCAAGGGCCAGTTGTCTTCAAAATTCAGTCACTTGGAACTCCTTTGATTTCATGGGTCATTGCTGAGAACGTGAAACCTAATATTAATGTCCCATTAGAAAGAAACTGATTTGGACATATTCCCACAAATGGTGTTTTTGCAGCACTAGCCAGGGAGAAAAGTAATAAGTATTCTGTGTCACTGAAATCACTGTGACTCTTGTGTCAGTGTGCAACTGATGTGTAAGAAAACGTGTTTTCAGAAAGACATTTTTAAGATACTTCTGCTTAAATAAGTGGATTTCAAATCACAGGTTTGTTAGTCAGAAATAAAAGGAATATACCCACTCCCTTCTATCTTCAGGTAAGAGAAATGAAGGCATGACAGTTGGGGCTTCTGTTCAGAAGTTGGCACCAAAGGCTGCCTTGGCTTTGTTGCTTCTATAAGCTGAGTTCCTAACAGCACCTGGAAGTCTTTGTGTGTTTTATAAGCTCCTGTTGTATTCTTCTTGAAACTTCTTATGTGACTTCTTCCATCTTCTTCCATCACCCAGAAGTAGTGTCCCTGCGATCTCCATTCTCTGTCCTTTTTGTTCCTTCCCATCCCAAGGATTGTTTGAATGCCTCCTTCTCCCTCCCTGACACCTCTTTCTCTGCAGAGATTTGGTACTATTCCATCCTGCTCTCTATGCCAAGGTTTTGTTTGCCCTTCCATTCTCAGCTCCTGCCAGTAGATTTTTTTACCCCTGAGTCAACATTTTTAGGAGTATAGGAATGAATTGAGGTGATTCAGACATTCTTCTATTAGAAGCCATCAGTAAATTTCTTGCTCTGCAGATGTTGAGCTTTCAGATTTTTTCCATTTAGTAGAAACCTAAATGCTTTTTAGCAGAAGTGCAGACCACAGAGTTAAGTCTTGCCAGAAGGCTCATATTCTCAAATATCTCTCTGCATATGCCATGTCCAAAGATTTTGTTTGATATGTTGGGTGTGCTTCTGCCAATTGTGGGTACATGGTGCAAACATTTGCAGTAAGACGACGTGGAAATAAAGAATAGGTTGCTGGTAAGTACAGCCTGTTCCAGAAGCCACGAGGCAAATGAAGTGTAAATCTTCAAATATTTGGGGGCATGTTTGTTTGAAAACACGTAGGAAATTGCATGCCTCAATTAATGTTTGTCCTCCTTTTTTGCTTTGTGTTTTAAGTAACAAGCCAAACCCCAACCAGATCAATGTAAATAATGTCAAACCAGGAGTGGTAAATGGTACTGGAGTACAGGCACAGAACGCGGCAGCAGGACGGGCCTGTGAAAGCTGTTATAGTAAGTGACGTGCCAGTGTGGCAGCTGTGCTCAGAGTGTGAGTGCTGTGCTGCAAACAGTTCATGTAAAAGCTCTGTTGTGGTGGGGGTGGGAGAGAAGGCTTTGGAAGGGTGGGAGGACAGAATTTGACATACCAGCATTTAAGCAAAGTTGGGTTTTGTTGTGGGTTGGTGGTTTTTTTTTTCTGGAGTGACTGGTGTTACATTAGTAAATGTAATTACTAAATACTTCAAGGGAGAGATAGCAAATGGCCTGGGTAATTGTAAGTAACTATTGAGCAAAAGCTTTCATCACCAAGGTGTGTAGTTGACAATTTTTCAATAGTTGTTTAGTACATTTCAAAATATGTAATGTCTTTGTATTTGATCTGCTGGCAGTTATAAATATACTGAGTTCTAATACTTGTCCTACATTATGGGGATCCTTTAGAGATGCTCACGTGTAGGAATGTCTGAGAAGTCAAGTCACAGATTTATCTTACATTCTTTATTTGTAAAATTAATGTATAGGGAGTTCCTGAAGACAATCTCCCCTCCCTCTCCCATGCTCCACAGAAGTTGTTGTCTACCAGTCTTGCAAAATAAGAGCTTTCAGTTTCATTAGCAGGGAATTTTCCCATCCTACTAGTCATTTTTTCTCTTCATGTTTTAAATGGACTTTAGATGTGTAATTACTTCTGCTGAAATCCCAAGTACATTTAACAGTGGGGCGACAGTGAAGCCATAATCAGGTTTCTAAGGTCTGTCTGAGCTTTGCACTGTCTTTGTATGGGTTTTCTTTTGTGATGGTTTGCTTTTGTGATGGTTCTAAAGAGTGTAAGCTCTGAAAAGTGGTCCTGTTTAAGGATATATATAATTTCCACCTTTGTTATCTCTAGCCACACAGTCTTACCAGTGGTATTCTTGGGGTCCCCCTAACATGCAGTGTCGCCTCTGTGCATCCTGTTGGACCTACTGGAAGAAATATGGTGGCTTGAAAATGCCAACACGGTTAGATGGGGAGAGACCAGGACCAAACCGCAATAATTTGGTAGGTATCTGTCAAGCAGACTGCTCAGTGCTCTTGCCTGGAAAGCTACGTGCCATGGTGTCTGACTGTTCTCACTGTTCTTAAATATTTAACAACAAAACAAATGCCTTCAGCCCCCATTGTTGTCCTCAGGTTTGGTATTTCATGTCTTGCAAAAGCTGGCATGACAACTTTGACTGTAAGTAATTTGTTGCCAAGTACTCCCCTGAGAAAAACAACAACAACAAAACAACAAAAAACATCATTTGTTTAGCAAACTAGCCATCAAATGCATGGGATAACTTAATGAAAATGGAAAAACTGAAATAGCAGTCAGTGTTTCTGGTATTCAGTTTCCATTATTTTTGCTGTACGGGGAAGAGGACCCATTTGTTTTTTTTCCATAAGGGGATTTGTTGTTTCCTGAAACCTGTTCCCTTTCCCAAGGCACATTCAAAATTAGATAGCTCAAATAGCTTGTGGCTTTTCAAAGATCCCTTATCTTGTTTTTCTGCTTCATCCTATTTTTTTAAATTAATCCTCCTTCCTTTTGGATAGGTTTGGGTTAGCATTGTATGAGCTGCTGTTGTTTATTTCTCTTTGCCCTTTTATGTAAAAAACAAGCTTCTTGGAATTTTTCTGAATTCAGTCTGGAAGCATCATACAATGAGCTGATTGGAGAAAGTAGCTGCATCACATAGAAGGATAGTGCACACTGATGAACTTTAGTTGTAGATTAATTTATTTCCTCTCTCTTAGTCTTTGCTATCATTCCTTTTCTATTTTTCTTTTATTTAACATCTGTCCTTTCCAGGCTTCTGTTTGCCCTCTGAAGCTACCTAATTGCTGAGATAACTGCCAGATTTTATCTGCCTTATACCTCTTATTTGTTAATTTTAAAAGATGTAAATAGTCAGAAAGGGGAAAACCTGATTCTCCCCAAGCTGAAATGTCCTATTTTGCAACTGTGGGCAGGTTTGAGATAACAAGGTACTACTTTCATTATTTTATTGGTTGACTTAGTTGCTTTTCATGAAGAAATTATGCTTTTTCTCTCTGTTGTAGATAAATCTTTCAGTATTATTCTTTATTACATGCAGGGAATATTTGACAGCTCTGTAAATGAATTCATTAAGTTCAGAATAAGAATTAGAACAACTTTGCAACTTTGAGACAAAAACATTCTTGCATGTTGTAAGTTTGCTTTGAGAAGTGAGTTTGTAATATATATTTTAAAAATCAGAAAGCAGCTGTATAGCTATCTCCCTCATACAGTTGTTTTTTAGAAGGAGTTTCCAGAGCAACTCTAGGCACCCAAAGTTTAAATTTCTGTTGGCTTTGTAAGTACTTTAAACATATGATAACATTAGGCAACTTCTTTACGTCTGGCTCTTGGATTCCTGCTTTAAAACTTGGGACAGCACAAAAATAAATGCTTCCCTGTGAAGAGAAAAAAATTATGTTCACTTTTTTTATCCTTTAAGATATTTTGGAAGAAAATTCCAAATGTTGATGGGTAAGATTTGGGAAATGGGGAGTAGCTGGCCTGAAAATATTTTCATCTGTAATACTGTTTCTGCCCTTATGTCTGTGCATCAGTAGTTGCAAGTGATGTTACACCACATTCTTTCTCTTTTTTTAAACCATGCTTTCTGGTAATTATTTTTTAGAAACCACATTTGTTTTTCTGTCTTTTCTAGAGTCCTCATGGTGTGCCAGTCCGGAACAGTGGGAGTCCCAAGTTTGCTATGAAGACACGACAGGCTTTCTATCTCCATACAACAAAGCTGACAAGAATTGCCAGACGTTTATGCCGAGACATCCTGCGCCCCTGGCACGCTGCCAGACACCCCTACCTGCCCATTAACAGTGCAGCCATCAAAGCAGAGTGTGAGTGGTGATGCAACTGGGGCCAACTTGCAAGGGAACCCTTAAGAGATTCCTTTCTAATCAAGTTGGATTAGAAACCTTTCCAGTCAAATTTGCATCTTCCGGTGATGCTGTCTTGCCTGTAGCTGGTGGTTTCACTAAATCTAGCTGTACTTGTAGGGTGTTCTGACTGATTGTAGGCTAGACAAATAACTTGGAGCTTTCCTGTTTTAAAATATTCATGTTTGTTCTTACTTTTTGCATTCTGTGTTTGTGTCCCGTTGCCAAGACGTGCTTGCAACCTGTGAAGTTCCTTTGGATTGGAAAGCTTTTTCAGGACACTTGAGTTTAATTCATTTAGTTTTGCTATAATATCTCAATGTCTTTTTTTCCCCTCTAAATATTTTTCTTTCTTTTACAGGCACAGCACGTTTGCCTGAGGCATCAGAAAACCCGTTGCTATTAAAGCAGGTGGTTCGAAAGCCTTTAGAAGCAGTGCTCCGGTATTTAGGTATTAAAGAAGCCCACCACCAACAACCACAAAAACCCAATACCAAACAAAAAACCCTAGCTAATTCTGCTAAACACTCCTTTTTTCCATTTGGTTCTGCATTTTGATGCTGGCTCTGGATTAAAAGATGAGAATCTTCCCCCTGACGTGTCCATTTTCGCTTTCCTACTTAGTGTGACAGCCCTAGTGGCTCAGCAGTCCATCCTGGGCTCACAGAGCTGTATCAGAAGCTTTTTCAAGTGAAGGGAGGGATGTGTTTGCTCTGGCCATCAGTGTATGTGGAGACAAGTTACCATCTGCACATAATTTCTTGAGAACAATTGGTCCACTGTTACACTTCTTGGGCTGTCTGGTGATAGTTGTTACACTCAGGTCCTCCAAGAAGCCTCTTGGGTTTAGGACAGTGCTGTGTCCCATGGCTTGTGGATCAGTTGCTGGTTGTTCTGTGCTGGAGCTGGACAAGGGGACTATGTTTGAATAATTTGGTTTTGGTTTGTGGTTTTGGTTTCGTTTTATATACACACACACACACTTTTTTTGTGAGGTATTGGACCTCACCAGCTGATCTGTGGGGGAGTACTGAGTAGCTCTTTTTAGGACCTTGGTGTAAATTTTAGTGCAGGAAGTGGCCAGCTATGAGACACACCAGTTCTGACTCCAAATGAATGCAAAATTATTTTCCCTAGCATTGCTGGTTGCTAGAGATACTCTGGAGACATGTCTCAGGTTATTACAGTAGTCAAATGTGAGTCTTACCACAGAAAGCTAGGTTGGACAAGTGGTACTTTGAAGGCTTCCAGATTAACAAGGAAATTGATTGCCTTTTTACTCTGAGAGGAAACATTGGAGTTGATTTTGTGTTTCTTTGAACATTTTTGTTGATGAAATATTGCAAGGCTTAGGGTTTATTAAATATTTACTGCTTCTGTGTGGAGTGTTGTACTTCTACTGTATACTAATGAGATACACAGTCTGAGAAACCTTTGGATATGTATGGTGCAACCAAATAAAGCCAGTAAAGGGAGAAGATTTGCTAGTGGATAAAATGCTGCCTTTAATGCTTTTACAGAATGTAGCAGTGCTTTTTGAGATTTCATTAGTGCTGTGTCAGGGTCTCCATTTGACTGTTGAGCTGGAAGAAGGGAATGGAAGAAAGGGAGGGAGGCTGATGAACTGGTGAGAATGTATTTTTGGAGTTGTTGTGCTCAGTGTGTTTTAAGTTATATGTTACTTGGCTACTGGGGCTGTGAGCAGCTTCCATTTGCTGTTGCTTGTAACTTTCTCTACAGGGTGTGCTTGATCTGCACCTTGGCCAAAAGTTTTAAATCAGACTCTTGAGTGTTTTTTATGGTGGTACTTTGAATCCTTACTTGTTTGGCCAGTTGAGAATTTTTACAAACCTTGAAAAATTGGAAAAGTAAAAATTTCCCCAGAGTTTAGGGCTGTTGCATGCCTGCCCAAAGATGGCTTTTATATAGAGCACCTCTAAAGTGATCCCAGATTGTCAGAGAACAGTGTTTTGGAAATAGATACAAAATGCTTTTGTTATTAGCTCTTAATTTAGGATTATATGATATTATGACATTGGTTTTAACATCTTTAGTAGAGATGGATTCCTAAATATGCTTTAAATGCTTTCTATAAATAGCAATCTCCAGTCGAAACTATTGACTGAGCGAGTTTGTATATAAGGGGAGGTACACTTGTTCACCTTGGAGTCTGCAGGTTGTTTTCAGATGTATAATTCGGGTATCACCACTAATAAAAACCCCCACCTTGCTGTTTTACAACAGAGTCTCATCCATGTCCTCCGAAACCAGATCCTGCAAAGAGCTTGTCCAGTTCTCTCAACAATCTGACTCCTGCTAAGTTTACACCTGTCATTAATAATGGGTCCCCAACTATCCTGGGAAAAAGAAGTTATGAACAACACAATGGAATGGATGGTAAATATTTTTCTGCAAAATGTATATAGTCTATATAGGCTTTTTTTTTCTGTCCTTTTGGTATATAAGAAGATTATTTGAAGCTATAGTTCTATATAAATTCCAAGTTTCCTATTCTTGAGGGAAGTTAATTTTTTCCTTTTTTAAAAGTCACTTGTCCTGTTTCTCCTCCCTGGGAGAGACATGTGATTTGTTCTGCCTGGGTGTTGCATGCACATAAAGCTGCTGTGCAAGTGGAACTCTGCCTTGCAAGTGGGATAGTGAAGGAGAAACTTCCCTTCAATTTTTAAACGAGTACAATGAGGAAAACCTTAATAGCTTTCTCCAGTCATGTTTCCTTTTTCTTTGGAGGTTTACAGCTTTTTAATTTGTAGGTAGTAGCTGTGCAGTTCCCAGGTGGCTTTCAAGTGGTCTTAATGAGAGTGAGAGCATGGAGGGTAGCTCTCCTTGACAGGGGAAAGGAATAGTTGGTTTCATGGTAACTCTGAGCAGGGAGGGAGATACAGAGAATCTTCTATTTTTTTACCTCCGATTTTAACTTTACATGTGGCTTATCTAAAATACAGTTACAAACAATATCTTATTATTTGTGTTTTAAGATTAAGAACATTTTAAACTGCTGCTGTTCAGGTTGCTGATGTGATGTTTTTCTCTTTTCTGTTCACTTGTGCTCTATCAGGCAACATGAAGAAGCGCCTGTTGATGCCTAGCAGGGGTAAGACCTTGAAGCTGCGCTCAGCTTATGCTAGGAGAGTGATTTTTAGTTTCATCTGCTGGCTTGTCTGTGCTTTGTGGCTAATGAGTCTGTGTGCACCTTCTCTGTTGATGTCTAAGTGTTCCTTGGGTAATCATTTCCACCCATGGTCATGCTGCTCACCTTCCAGGCTTTTCACATGCTGATGACAAGTCGTACAACTGTACGGAAGACATGAAGTGAAATGCTTAGAATCTAATTCCTAAACTAATTCCTCAAGTTGAGAGAACAGTTTTCTAGCAGCTTTGTGACACTGCTGAAAGCTGTGATGGTTGGTTTGAAACTAGGTGTTGCCTCACTGTTTGAAATTCAAGTTTCAAGTGTCCTGAACGACTTTGAATTCACATTGACCCAAAGAAATAGAAGACAGTATTCACACTGAATTCCAAGTCCAAGCCTCTGTATTTTCCACAGTGTGTGGACAGTCTCACCAGTGAGAGACTATCTGCATGTTCTCTACTTAAAGTAGAAATGGTTTTCAAAATTTCAAAAATTAATCTGTTCTGACTAATGAATAATCCTCAGAAGCTTTAGTTTGTGATAATGCAGGAAACGTACATAAGATGTCACTTAAATTCAGTACAACAGACCAATTTTGAATAGCTGGGATATACAAATGTCATTGTGAGGCAGGCAAACACAAGGTTAAGCCTACGTGTTACCATGAAGTGGCCCACACTGCATGCCCTGATGTTAAGCTTTGTGGTTAATTGCTGAGACAGTGGATGTTATCAATATTTATTCACATGCATGCATATATAAGTGCATGTGGAGAATACAGTAAGAACTAAGACAGTGATTGTTCTACTGTCTTGCTCTCTTTAAGAATTTACATCTTGGTCTTGTGTTGCTGAGTTTTTAATGTGCTTTTTAAGTTTGGTGCTTTGAGAAGAATAGCAACACCCTGCTGCCTGGGGTCAGTTTGGCTTCCTGGGAAGCTTTGTTCAATCATGAGGGATGTGAAGTAGCTCACTGAACTTCCACAGCTGCTAGTGACAACCTGCCTACTGCTCCCTGCTGAAAGCCCTCATCAGCAAGGGAACTGTTGAGTCACTCAGCAGCTGAGACACTTCTGAAGCTCTGAGATGTTGTGGCCTTCAGGCTCTCTCTGCTTAGAGTGCTGGGTTTGATAACCTGAGTCTATTTACTTACTGGAAATGGAATATTCTTGTTCTAGTGTTTTAAAATACCTGTCTGCTGGTGCACTTATGTGATTAGATTCATTTCAGTCGTAGCTGTTGCTGGAACAGTTTTCAAAAAGAAGATTTCAGTGAAATACCTGTTCAGGCTGCTCAGAATGTGTTTCTCTGAAGCACCCGTCTGTAGCTGTGCAGAAACTGGCTCCCACCAAGTACTTTGCTGCTTTATCTGCTCACTGTTCTCAGCCAGCCACTGAAATACTTGGCATAGTACTTGTTCCTATAACTACTAGGTAGCAGAGTACTAATCAGTCCCAGAATCTGTTCACCTGCTGGGGTAGTGAGTGTTAACTGGATATTCTCGTGAGCAGTTCAGCTTAAACTCGTTGGTTGAGATTTATTTATGAATGGAAAATACTTGTCATGCTGCAATTTCGACATCCGGAATGTTTTCTAGCCCTGGGTTGCTGGAAGCTTTGCCAAGACAGAGAGGGAAGGGAACCACCTGCAAGAGAAGCAGGATTTAAAGAACTTGGATGAACACCTGCTGGGCACAAGGAAACAGAAGTTTGGTGCAGCTATTTCTGGCCTGGAGCCAGTTTGTGTGCCAGTGCCACATAGCACTGGTTCCCAGTTGCCTTGCATGTGAACTAGTAAGCTTTGCTGGCTCTGGGCATGGCTAGTACCAGTTTCCTGTGCTGTGCCAGCAGTGGCAATGTGGTGCTGAGACCTTCTCCTTGGCCCTGGATGGATCCATACAGGCTTATTAGTTTAGGGTGCTGCTGGTGGGAAGGGAGAGGAGGAGGTCAGAGGAGAGGAAGAGCACAAGATGGAACTGTTCTGAAGGAGTAAATGGCAGCAGGAGTGGTGAAGCCATGTGATCAGAATTTGGGAGCCAATAAGTTAGTATAAAAGGACTGAAATAAACTCCTATATCCAGAATGACTGATTTTTTAATTGTAACTGACCAAAATAGAAGAAAAATATCAATGAGAGTAAAATTGAATTGTTATAACCAGGCAGATTCTTAATTTACATAGTTCCTATGGGAAATTGTGGAGTTTTGTTTTGGTTTTGTTATTCCTCTCCCCTTGGTGATATGTGGTGGCACACTGGCTGGGTGAGGACATTGTAGTCCTGCAAAGGAAAGCTGGTGTCAAGACAACTGCTCAGAGAGCTTTAAAATACTATTTGTACAAAAGTTAAGGTGCAGGAAGACACTTTACTCACTTATATTGAGATAAGTTTTCAGGGAGATGTTAACTTGCCTCAATGTTATATGAATTATCCAGGGTTTTTTTTTTGCCTCCTGCTGATGTGCTTTGTCTGTGGCATCTGGAAGATACCTTATGGTTTGTACAGGTCACAGTGTCAAAGTCTCTGATACATGACAGTGGATAGCTAGGATGTTGGGCTTTAGCTGGTGATAAATGCCTTTTGTTAGAGGGCTATTGCTTCCTAACTCATGGGTGAAGTATGTAAATTATGGCTAGTTGCTGAGCTGATTGCATCTGATGAGTCTGTAAGGCCTTCCTCATGGCCACATCATAAAGCAATATAAATTCAAGAGATTGCTTTGCAGGGAATTGGCTGAGTAGCAGCTTGTAGTTTTGCTTAGTGGAAAGAATTAAGATCCATGTTTATTTATATATATATGTATGGCCAGGTTTCTAAGGCTTTTAAATTGCCATGGCACCTGCTGCCTTCATTTAGAATTAGGCTGTTTTAACATTGCTGAAAATTGAACTGTTCGTGTAGGTTTTTGGGGCATTCCCTCTGACAGTATTGCTGGGAGATTTTAATCTGAGGATCTTCCACCCCTTGGTGTCTACGACAATGGGTGGTCAGTGCTTAGAGTTCAGCCCTCAGAAAAGTACCTTGATGGATGTTCCTGTGTAACTAGAAACACCATTCCTAAATATGTCCAAATGGTGACTGAGAGTGGAGGGGTTGGAGGTGGAAAATCACCTAGTCTGTATTAGGGTTGGTCAGGTTGAACTCCACGTGAAGAGAGGACTAGCAATGGTAAAAAAGGAAAGACTGGGAAAAGAGGAACCTTGGTGGTGAGATATCAGGGAAGAAGAAGAAAGGAGACTTGTTAGTGGGTTGCAGCCAGAACTAGTTAAAACTACTTATGTTGAACCCTTTATAAGAGTACTTCAGCTTTTTCCTTTGGATTTTTTTTTTTTTTTTCTTTTTCTCTTGCTACTGTAACTCCAGTTGGGTATCTTTAACTTTCCTTTTTCTGAATCATCCCTGCTTAACCCTGGAGACCTGAGCTTATTCAGGTTTCAAATATGATTAGTCTGGCCAGGCACCTAGAGTTTGGTGCTGGAATTCCAAGAACATGAAAATAATCTTGTCTCTCTCTTCTCCCTCCAATCTATTTCTTAAGAAGGGTGTAATCCTATAGTTTGTTTTGCTTTCCTCTTTCATTTTCATTGCATTGGAGACATGATTATGCAAACAGTGGTCTTCCCAGCTTTCCTTCAGCATTAGGTTAGCATGGACAAACTCCTGCAGGTTCCTATTTTTGAAGCATGAAAAGCACATGGAGTCCCATAAGCTGTTGAATACAGTGAGATGTTAAAAATGTATTAGTTTATTCTTTTTCACTAATACCCTAGAGCTTGGTTAATAAGATGTACCATGAAACTTCCTCTAGAAATATACAGGTAATATTTTATGTCCTGGACCCTGTTTATTTTTCTCCTTACCGCTATCCAGTATAGGGTCTATGTGATACTTGTCTATGCAAATTCCTACTGGGGAAAAGGAGGAGCATTGTTAGATTATTTTTTCCTCTCTCTTTTATACCATGTTAGCTTTCATCTGATCAATTCGTTTTTCAGGGTCATCACATGCACTCTAAAATTGGCAGAAAGGGAGAGAACATGAATGAGTAGCTAAAATAAAGGGAAAGCTTTTCCTGGCAACAAACTTGTATTGATAAAATGGTAGTGGATCGAATGCTGAAAATTGGAGAGGATTTATAGAAGAGCCATGAAAATGGTGAAGGGACTGGAAAGCACACTGTATAATGGAAAATGCTTTTATCAAAGTGGAAGTTGTAGATGGTTGTCTTTGCTGACAGGAGCAGCAGAAGTCTAATAATAGAGGGCTTTTTAGTCTAGCCGGGAATGGAATAATGAGCTGCAGTAGCCAGAAGGTACAGCAGCAAAACTTTGGCTGGAAACAAGCTGCAGATTTTTGAGTGAGGTTAATTAACTGTTGCAATACCTTGCTTCTGCTGCTGGGGATTTCTAAACCAAAAGGGAATGTTGATCTAGTTTAACGTGTTCAGGTTCATAGTTTCTTACCTCCTTATGGGGAAATGTGAATGAACTCCTAGAACCAGAAGCATTCATCAGCCTACCATGGCATTAGTTTAATAATTAAGAGATGATCATGAAAGTGAAAATACTGTTCTTGATTAAATAAACATTTGTCCAATTGAGAATATGTGGAAATTCTCCAGCATCAGCTATGGAGGTGATTATCTCAAAGGTTTTTCTGGCTAACTTGAATCTTGTAAAAAATTTGGACTTACCTGTGTACATGAATTGCATTAAAGTTCTGCCTTTATCAGCAGTGGCCCCTGGCTGCCCTTCCTAAGTAGAGGGTAACCAGCTGAAGGAAATCTGCCCATCCAGGAATGACTGCAAACAGCAGGGAGTATTGGTCCTTTAATGAATAATGTGTTCCATGGGGGTACTGGGAAAAAGTCCTGGCTTTAGCTATTGATATCCGGACCAGAGTAATTCTGACTAGTATCAAGAGAGAAAATGTTCAGTGCTTCATAAAGGAATGGCTGTTTCTTGC